CTTTCCGCCCCTGAGCGGCTGCGTAAAGGTAGGCGCTGTGAACCGGTGCTGGAGGGAGAAGGCAGTTGTTGCCACTCGGTTTTGTCTCCGCAGCAGGCCAGTACAGCCTCGGCGTTTTTAACCACCCCGAAGCTGGCATCTGGTAGCATCTCAGTGTGATTTTTCAGGCAAGCAACTTTTGTGAGTGGAGCTTGGAACAACAGCATGGTTTTAGGTCCGCTTCAGACCCTGCCCTTGCCCAACAGCAGCGCCGTCACCGCGGCCATTGGCCTTGTCACCACAGCATTGCCCCTTTCAGCCAAAACCCGTGATCTAAATGACTCACCAAGATTAGCCCTCAGTTCTTAAGGCACGCATGCATGTCTTACTCTTCCTGCTCCAAAACCAGTTACGATGTCTCTCAGGACACTGCACAGATTGCAAGAATGAAAGGTTGTGAACCAACTCCTGCTTCCAATTTAGTGAAGTAGATTTTTCAGGTCACTTATATTTAGGCCTTCTGAGACACCAGGAACATCTCATAAACCACAATGTTAGCTTCGGCATAAAAACACAGATGCAGCTGGACATCATTTCCAGAGAAGTGCTGAAATGACTGATGCAAAGGATCTTGGCTGCTGAGTATGACTGGCTGGCTGTAGGCTCAGAGGATGAAAGACGTGATTCAAGATATAAAATGAACAAGAGCCCTAGACTTGTACAATAAATAGCTAAGGGAGAAAGCAGCATTTAGGTGGGGAGAGAGAACAGTTCACATCCGCAACACTTGGAGCTCCTTGGGGCAAGATTCTGGAAAGTGTTAACTTTTCTGTCCATCTCAACTTACTTCATCTATAAACACATAGTACAGAGTAACATCTGATCTAGTGCCTTTTCCTATTTCTCATTATGAAAACTGATTTTTTTTCCCCCTCCATGGACCTACCAAAAGTGGAAGATAATTCCTTACCTACAGATAAAGAGGAAAACACTGTTCTCACTTTGATAGATGTTTGAGCCCCTAAAGAATTCAAATTCTTCATTTAGAAGTTAAAATATACAATTCTAGGCAGAACTGAAATATCTTCTGGCATTGTCATTCTCATGGTGACAGCGTTATTTCATATATAAAACAGCACTTTAGAATGTGTGGGTCTAGTCACTCTGAAAGTCCTTTCTTGACTTTACAATCCCTTGCTATCTTCTTGCAGATTCACCAAGAGGCAGTAGAGGGTGCTATTATTGCACATACAGAAATAAAATGTCTGTGCCTAAAGCACAAAGAAACAAATACCCAAGAAGCAGGTCGTCACAATATGGCCATGGTTTACTCCTGTCTAGCAGTTTATTAAATTAACACCTTTCATTAACTGTGGATGTTTTTATCCTCCTGGTTTTTTTTTCACTTGTAATATTTGAAGTTGAGGGGAAAAGACTCGAGAAAAATAATTGACATTGTTTCTCATAGCACAAAAATCTCATAAAAGCTAAAACGATGATGATGACCGTATGTTATTCAAGTCTTCTGAAAACTGACATTCTAAGGGGACATCATCAATAGTATGGTCAGCAGTACTGACAGGCCAAAGCCTTGCACACTTACAGAAAGTGATGGTAACTGCCCCTAAAAGCTTACAGTCTGTGTCCACAAGTGAAGACAGGCAGATGCAAGAAGTCACTGTTAACATGTCCTTCCTCCAACGCTGGAGCCTGCAGGAGCAGTCATAAACTCCTGATTACAAGAGATTTTTTCATTCAGAAATCAAACGTATGGTTGTGTTTTCAAGAGATCTGAGCGAGGACAATGCAGCAGTTTTGCAGATTTTTATAGGCAACTTGTGAAAGAAGAACAGAAATGGAAAAACTCAAACAATTGCAACATACTCCCCTTTGGAAACTTTCATGATCACAGACACTGGAATACAGAAGAAATGCATTTCCACTCAATGCTTGCCAAAAGAGAAGATGGGTGGTCTTGCAGCTAAAACATTGAGACTACAACTCTCATCTGAATTCTGACCCCTGAATTCACCAGAGGATTCTTGTGTGGCCTAGAACCAGCCTCCTAACTTTCCTGTACCACAGCTTATAAACATGAAGACAGGCATGTTATTTCCCATACTTGTTATGCAACAAAAAGCATTAATGCCTGTTGCACGAGTACCACAGAGTCCTTCCTCCCCACCTTTTTGCATGAAAATCGTCATCATTATCTATTATCGTCATCTATTAGGGGCCACTTCTGTAGCTAAGGTGTGCCTTCAGTGTACTGTAGGCATAACTATGCCCATTTTAATCTAGGTATCTGAGGTAGCTGTGGCATCAGAGAGCATACAAGGATCTTGGGCATCTGCCTATTTGGGTAAGATAGTTCTTGCTGCAATCTCTAATACCAAAGTTTCTGATACTACTGTAAGCTGGAAAAAAAGGACAAAGGGGAAAGAACTGTGAAGAAACAGGTCTCTAAAAACAGACTCCTGCTTCAGGAAGGAAAGTAGGTATTTCGGAGTGAAGGAGCAAAAAGAAGCCACAAGTGGAGCAGCCACAGGTTCCAGACACAGGAAGGAGGGAAAACTAGGGGACAAATTTTCAAAGCTTCTTGGAGTAATAGCCCATATGTTTCGGGCCTATGATAAATCACATACTTCAGGCATCTAAAACACCAGAAGGTCTTAGAAAAGCGTGGTTTTGGAGAGCATTTGTCTTAAGATGGTTGACATTCCAAGCTCCTCAGGAAAAAAAAAAACAGAGCAAACTTCCACTGAAAGATCTGACGGTTCGATTCTTCTTCACGTTCATTGTCAAATATAAATTACAAATTAGAGGACTCTACTATGTCCTTTTCTTAGTGCGAGTTCTCACAGATGTGCAAATACTGTAACTGTCATTACTATGCACGAGTGATAGATTTCAGCTTACAGTTTCTGCTTGTTCACAAGGTGTTACTGGGATTGCTTTTGTATGAGTTGAACAGCCTTCCCTGTCAGTAGAGGATTTTATAGTTCTGATACAGAACTCTTCAGAGTTGGGAGAAATTTACATTGTTCAAATCTATTGTTTTATCAGCAATTTTTCAGAAAATATTTGTCTCACTGCTGCTAAGAGAAATGACTCCACTAATGGGCAAGATCATCTGGATTTCCTTCCCTGATAAATTCAATAGAGGTGGTTTTTTTTTTTTTTTTGTAAACTTATCTTCCTGAATGGGGAAACATTTTTGTGAAATCCAATTTTTAAAAGTGTTCAGATACCCTAAAAGTTGCTCTTTCAATCCAGAATGTCACCATTTGATCAGCAGGGAAGCCTTCATCACAACATGCAAACAAGGTAGTATTTTTAATGATTCTCTTCCAAAAAAATAGATGGAACAGGGGAATGCTGACATTGCTTTCATTTTGCCAAAGGCTGCCAACGCTCAGAGGGAATAAGCTACTCACTTGGTGAGAAAGTGCTGAACAAACACTAAAGTAATACTCCCCAACATGATATACTTGCTTTTTGCTCTCCCAGCTGCCCAAATGTAATAGCTCCCCTCCTGCCCTGCAACCCCTCCCTCATCAAAAAAAAAAAAAAAGAGACCCCTTGGATAAAAACAGTAGCAAGAGGAATTGGTGGATCCTGAGAGCTGGCAGGGGTATGAGTATTTTGTAACCCGATCTATCATGTGACTAGGTCCAGGCAATAAAAATAAGTCTCCTACCAGCCCTCCTGTTTGCTCTACTTTATTATATGCTGTCAGGAGAGAAATCCTTTTTTTTTTTTTTTTTGGCAAAAAATTTAGCAAATGAAGCCACCTGAATCATTAAGTCCTGAAGGAAATCTGGCAGAGAACTGGAGGAGGCTGTTGCTGTGCTTCCAAGTTTTCCTGGAAGCAAGCATGTATTGAAGAGAAACAGAGGTGAAATCTTCTACTCTGCTACATGTGGTGGGAGGGGTAGGAAGCAGAACAACAAAATTAGAAGTAAATTAAATTCTTGATCAACTTTAGTAGAGGTTGGCAAAGATCTATTTGAATTAGCTAGAAAAAACTTCTCATTATGGACTATCGCACAAATTCAGCTGCTGCATACCACAGTGAGCAGAAATGTAATAACACACTGTAAATTACAGATTGCTCACCACAGTACTCAGGATGAGTTAATAACAGATAATGGCCCACAATTCACAAGTGGATCATTTTGGTAATTCTCTTTGATCTGTAAGTTGAAGCACACCATGTCAAGGTATAACTATGCACAAGGAAAAGAATCAGTATTATTGCAAAAGCCTTCATAACTCCCCTCCGACACACACACACACACACACACACACACACACACACACTCTTCCCCC